CCTCTAGCGGCGGTCGTGGCCCCATCTCTACTACCTCAGATCTTGCTTCTGGTATCTCTGTTCTTTGAGGATTGTTGCTTTATTGTCTATTTGTGCTTCGTTTTGAAAGATTTTGTGGGTTTTAACTCTTGAGTGTTGTGTTTTTGCTTGATTTTACTTGAAATATGAAAAGGGTATTCGCTATTTTGAATGATTACTGGTTTGATCATCATGATTGTTGTTATGTTGTTGTTATTACTCCATTTTGATTTTGATTTTGTTCTTTGATTTTGTGTGTTCTTGTTTGTTCTCATGGAGGTTAGTAGCTTTGATGTGAGGATTAGGAAGACTTCTGTCTGGATTCTGAGCTTTTTGTGTTCTTTGTTTATGAATTTGAGTGAGAAATTTATAGTAAACTCAACCCAAATCATGAGCATTTGAGTGTGGAGATGTTTTGAGTTTGAAATTGGTATATGAATGCAAAAGTTTGATCCCGTTTCTCATTGATACGAGTAGACCGACAGGTCGGGAGTCATCTCGAAGGCATTCCATTCTATGGCTCGAGGGGCGATATCTCTACAACGGAGATTCATAATAGGATCATAGGGAATAAGAGAAGTATGTCGGATTCTGGTTTTATCGGGTCGTATCGAGATGGAGTTCCACACATGGCTTCCGAGTCGCATTTGATGAAGGTTTCATTGCATATCACATTTTGTAGTTGCTGAAAGAAACACTATTTAGCTGCACTCCTTGTTTAGTGATATTGTCGTGTTTTAACCCAGACATTACGAAATGGAGCAGGCAGGGAGCTTAACCGAAGAGCCAACGACGATGAAGTGACGCTTGGAATGCAGCAGTCAATGAGGCCGAGCGCTGCCTCGGTTATCTTTCAACCTCATATCGGAAGTGGTAGTAGACTCGATGCCGATGTTACCAAGTGGGAGAGATCCACGCTTATGAACATCGGTCCTGCTCCAGCCGTACAGTACTCTCCCCGTGGGACGAGTATGCCGTTTTCCCCTCAGTTACATACAAATAGATTCAGAGATGCCAATGCCATTCCTCCAAATATATCTCAATCAGCTGCAGATGAGGGATCTCGAACTGGAATCAAAGGTCCTGGAATCTTGAGTTCGAGTTATCCCGGTGGTGGAACCTCCGAACGGAACTCATCTATCCTGCTCCCGAGCTGCAGCTTGCAAAAGCCCGGGACTAATATCGCCGAGCACGAATCCTCTATGCCTTCAAGGTAGAGCCTGCATTGATACTAAATTATAGGTTCTTTGTCACATTTCCTATTAGGAAAATGCTAGTCTTCGTGCTACTTATCTTGTGACTCGTTAATCGCAGTCGACGTGGTCTTATATCTGCTGATCGGCAGATGACGATATTTTATGGCGGTCAAGCTCATGTCTTTGACGACGTTCATCCAAACAAGGTTCGTGTTCTAAATTACGTGGTTTTGAACGAATGTTTGTCCTGCTCTTACCATCCAAGTGACAGTGGCAAGTACTTGATAATGATAGCTAAACTCGTCGTTATCGTGCGACATATTTCACACGATAGAAGCTTAGAAACTTCATAATCATAATGCATTTTAGAAGTTTCATTTAGATACCCAATCGATGATGTTCGATAGTCGATGCTACCGAATTATGTTAGCTGTAAGCTTCTCTAGGTTGGTTTAACTTCGTTGGAAAAGATCGACCGTTCTTGGGACGACTTTCCCTTGATTTGCTTGTAAGTTATATATTGGACAAACAATGGGGCACCTCAAAATGTGTTGCATTCTTTTAATGTCGGGAGTAGCTATAATTTGTTAGTGGTGGGCTTGGGCTGTTACAAATGGTATCAGAGTTAGACCCCGGGTAGTGTGCTAGCGAGGATGCTGGCCCCGAAGGGGGTGGATCGTGAGATCTCACATCAATTGGAGAGGGGAATGAAATATTTTTTATAAGGGGTGGAAACCTCTCCCTAGCATACGCGTTTTAAAACATTGAGGAGAAGCCCAGGAGGGAAACCCCGAAGAAGACAATATCTTCTAGCCGTGGGCTTGGGCTGTTACATGTCATCCCTGACAAATCAAACCGAAGACATCAATGCTTTGAAACATCATACCGCTAGCAGATATTGTCCTCTTTGAACTTTCCTTACTGGACTTTCCCTCGAGATTTTAAAACGCGTTTGCTAAGGAGAGGATTCCACACTTTTATAAAGATAGTTTCATTCCCCTCTCCAACTAATGTGGGATTTCACAATCCACTCCTCTTTCGTGGTCAGCATCCTCGTTGGCACTCGTTCCCCTCTCCAATCGATGTAGGATCTCACAATCCACCCCCTTTGGAGCTAGTGTCCTCACTGGCACTCGTTCCTCCAACCGTTGTGGAATTTCACAATCCACCCCCTTCGAGGCCTAGTGTCCTTGCTGTCACTCGTTCTTCTCTTCAATTGATGTGGGGTCTCACAATACACCTCCCTTAGGGGCTAGCGTCCTCGTTGGCGCTCGTTCCTCTCTCCAATTAATGTGGGATCTCACAATACAACACCCCCTTTGGGGCCAGCGTCCTCACTGGTAGTCGTTCCTCCAACCGATATGGAATCTCATAATCCACCTCTTTCGGGGCCAGCGTCCTCACTGACACTCGTTCCTCTCTTCAATCGATGTGGGATCTCACATTGAATCTTTACCATCAAAACTATATCATTTTTCTGATCACGATGCTATTTATATCTGCTGCTAAGCATAGAATTATAACTGAGATGAATGTCACATTCTAATCACAAGCTGTTCATTGCATTTCAGGCCGATGTTATAATGGCCTTAGCCGGGTCAAGCGGGGATCGTGGTCAGCTAACTATGCAACAAAATCAACTGCTCGGCCAGTTAACGAAAGCGAAACTCCAAACGGAGAACTCGACATCGTTATGGCAAGTGACACCACCTCGTCATTTGCCAAAGAAGCTCGTAGAAAGCTGCGTTGCTGGGAGTTCAGCTCCCATAGCCAGGTCGGTCGAGAGAGTCGCAGCATCAGCAGGTGGGTGCATGAATATATATCTATGGCCCGGAATTGAAACCAACCTATTTCGAGAAATCGAATCGTTGCGTGACATATTTTTGTTCTTGTGGCAACAAAAACAGGAGCTGGTAAGGATGTTAGAAACCAAGTTCAAGCTGCTGCTGATTCGAGTGCGGAGAAGAAGAGAGAGTTGTGATATTCGTTCCCCGACTCAAACGAATGTTTCGAAATGCATCAATGTCAGCTGTTGTAAGGCATTTCTCGTGGCGCCCGTCCTTGTTTCGGTACTTTTTAGCTTCGCTATTTGTTGTATTTTCTTACCGGGTCGTTTCGAGGGGAGGGGATTCGAGGTTTAAACTTGATGAGGAATGGAAATGAATTCCCTTTCTTTTTATGGAACTTAGCTGTTTAAGAAATTGTTCTGAATAGCTTATAACTACTTAAGATGGCTTGTCCCGGATTAGGTTAGTGTAACTCATGGTTAAGAAGCTTAACAAATCATTTTATTATATTTGTGGTCAATTTAATAATATATTTTAAAATATTTTGAATAATAGACTGAGTTTACTAAAATAATATTATATAATAAAATAAAACTACTAGACTGGACTTGCTTGGACAAGAGTTATCCTATGGGCCGGAAGTGACTGGGCCAAGCTACCTCCATATGGGCTTTCGGCCCAATTACAATATGGGCTTTCGGCCCAATTACCATATGGCTTCGGCCCAGCTTGCAGTTCCACATTCATCGGAAGAACTTTGAAAGGAAAGTTTGTATTTCCTACTTAGCATTGTTAAAAAATATTTGCAAATATATATATATAAGAAACTATAAATCGTGTATTATGAGACCCTCGTAGGTTTTTTTAGTCAACCGTCTACGGTTTAGGAGTGTTCAAATGACCCAAGAATCTAAATAACTCATATTATCCAAACCAAATCATAAAGTTCTCGGTTGGGTTAAGATTTTTTTTCTTTTGTGGTTAGATTGAACTTTAGGAAAATCGAAAAATTCAGATCGGTTCGCGGGTTGACTTATTTTTGGTCAAGTCCACATGACCAACCAGAATATAGGGTTACAGTTCAACTCAACCATACTTTTAAAATTATTATGAAAAATAAGAATATTTCACGTTTATAACTACGGTTAGTGATGTTTTGTGACGTGTGAATGTTTAATATTTGAGTTTTATGAGATTTTAGTTATTAAAGTAACACGTTTGGTGGTGGATAAATAGATAAATAAATAAAAAACAACCCAAAAATCCAACTCAATACAACTCGAAAATAGATGGTTGGGATGAGTTATGAACTATATTCAAGTTGTTTAGATCACCAACCCAATGAACTAGAAGTTTCGGGTTGGTCCAAATGATTTTTCCAACTCAGATCATACATTACACCCTTTATTATACACAAAATTAAAAGTTCACGAAACTATTTGACAGTTCTTAAATTTAAGAACTCTTTAGATAATTTCTAAAGTTGAAAGACGAGACTTATAATTTAATTTAAATGATAAATACCCGTATAAATAAAGTAAGTAAATTTATAATTTTATTCTTATTATGTACTAACATTAATTTCTCCTCCATCCTCAACTTGATAATTCTCATATATGCCATATTTGAGAATGTTTGTTTAATCCACCACACCTAAATGATGTGTGAAAGTTCTCTATTTATAATCAAATAAATTACAATGATATGAAAATAGTAATAAAACGAAAAAACAATATCTGAAAAGATACTTCTAAAGATACCTTTGGTAACAAGGTAAATATTTAGGTATTTGGCTTATCATATAATATCATAAGATACTTCGTAACAAGGTAAATATTTAGGTATTTGCCTGGTAATAAAATATGGTAAACTATAATTTAGAATATTAAAGTTACTATTCAGTCTGTTACTTCCCATAAATGGGTTTCTTTCCAAGTTCTTTGTACTAAGAAAATGTTAGTATTTTAAATATCAGCAATTGCTTTGAATTTATGCAGCTATGGCAGATCAAGAATTTCTTCCTCTCGACTTCAATTCAGTTCAAACCGTCCCTGAATCTCACTTGTGGCCGGACTCCGATGAGTTATCGTCGGTCATCGACTTGGACGAAAAGATTTCGCTTCCATCGATTGATCTTCTCGACGATGGGGCATCGGAGCTCCTAGGGAGGGCCTGTGAGCAATGGGGAATGTTTCAGTTGACTAACCATGGTATCTCCAAAACTCTAATAGCTGAGACGGAGGAGGAGGCTCGACGTCTGTTCACTCTACCGGTGAAAGAGAAGATGAAGACATTACGGTCTGCTGACCGTGTCACTGGCTACGGCACGGCCGTAATATCGAAGTATCATCCGAAATGTATGTGGCATGAAGGATTCACCATCTTGGGTTCTCCTGCCGATGATGCTAAGAAGCTTTGGCCATCTGACTCTAAACGGTTTTGGTAAATCCATGCACTTTCATGCACATACACAATTAGAGTTTACCACTCTATGCATATAAATTAGGACTTACCACTTACCCGTTCAAATATTTTCATAGTTTAAACTAAATTTGAGATTAAAATATCTTTCTATACACCATCATTAAAATACTCGATTGTTTATCACACAAATTTCATTACTTTTTTTTTTTTTTTTTTTGCTTTCAAGTGATGTAATGGAAGAGTATCAAAGCGAAATGAAGCGCTTATCAGATAGGTTAATAAAGTTAATCTTCAAGTTTCTTGACATCTCTGTGGAAGAGACAATGAAGCTGTTGTCTTCAATGGACGACTCGGGTAAGTCCTACACCGCCCTCCAACTGAACTCGTATCCACCGTGCCCTGATCCAGACCAGGTCATGGGCCTTGCCGCCCACACCGACACCTCCCTCTTCACCATCGTTCACCAGGCATGCAATGATGGCCTCCAAATCTTCAAAGACAAAGCAGGCTGGGTTCCATTGTCTCCGATGAGAGGTTCTTTCGTTGTCAACGTTGGCGATCTTCTCCACATTATGTCGAATGGGCGGTTTCGGAGCATTCTTCATCGGGTTACGATACAAGGAAAGAAGGTGCATAGATTTTCATTGGCATATTTCTATTATCCACCGCCTTATTTATATATTTCACCTCATTGCAAGCCATTGAGTGAATCACCACAAACTCCGCTCTATCGCTGTGTGAGTGTGAAAGAATATTTCACCATGAAGGCCAAAAACAATGGGGAGGGACTTTCTACCGTCAAAATATGATCACTCAAACCCCTTTTGTCTTCATTTTCAAAAGGGTTTCCAAATAATATGTTACATTTATAAGGGTTTGTTTTTAATTTATCCTCAAGTTTGATGATCACACAGCTATGTAATAGTTTGGAAACCTAGCTTTACGATTTGATTTGCAAATTCTATCAAAGGAATCGATAACGGAAAGAAAAAATCGAGCATCTTACAACATAGCATTAGTATTTGAGAGATTATTCTCGAGCTAAGAAATCTCCATATAAGTTTGTTGAGATATCTAAACATGAAAAAAAAAAAAAAAAAATTTCCGAGGGCACACACAAATGAAACAAAAACAAAGCTAAAATGGAGCGCGAGGTTTATAATTCAAATTTTTACATCAGATACCGAAAATAATAGTTTAGTCCTAATAATAATTTAGTCTCTATACTCTCACATTTGCCGACTTTACTTTCCTCAATCATGGCATGGACTTTTCTACCGGTTAATTTGAGTGAGTATACTGCTAAAGATTAGACATTTATTACCCTTTCTAAGGCAGAAGGTTCCATCCCTCACTCCTTTAACTGGTTAAATAGTCTTTTCACACTAAGCCCTTATTATCCTCTATTTAATTTTCTTCGTCGGGACCTAAAGGTTTTCCAAAAAGGACACACAAAAACTTCATTAGACAGAGGTCCTACACTTTTAAACATAATATCAGCTGTGCAGAAGCTCAGATAACTGGTATGTGTCAAGACAACTAACGAATTCAAATTATGTGAGATCTCACATTGGTTGGAGAGAAGAACAAAACATTCTTTATAAAGGTATGAAAACTTCTCCTCAATGGACGTATTTTAGAAATTTTGTGTGGAAACCCGAAAGAAAAAAATCTAAAAAAGACAATATCTGCTAGCGGTGGGCTTGGACTGTTACAAATTGTATCAGAGTCAAACACTGAGTGGTGTACCAGAAGACGCTCAAACACTGAACGGTGTGCCAGAAGACGCTGGTCCCCAATGAGGGTAGATTGTGAAATCCTACATTGGTTGGAGAAGAGAACCACATTCTTTATAAAGATTTGGAAACCTTTCTCTAATGACGCATTTGAAAAATCTTGAAGGAAAACTTGGAAAAAAAGTTTAAAGAATACAATATTTGCTAGCGGTGGGCTTGAGCGGTTACAAATAATTATCACGGAGAAAAAGTGACGACAAGAAAAAATGATGACGAAGCAATCCTGCAATGGACAAGAAATATCATTTTTAGGAAGGAAAACAGGAAGGCTAATAAGAAAACAACAAACCGGATGAGTTCAGTTTGGGTTGGCACGTCATCAAGAGCATCTTTAATGCTAACGTGTCCCTCAATGTAGATGCAAGTGCCTACAATAAAAAAGATAATGTAGATCCATTTGTGAGATCCCACGTTGGTTGGGGAGGAGAATGAAGCCAGTGAAGACGTTGGGCCCTGAAGGGGGAGTGGATTTTGAGATCCTATATCGATTGGAGAGGGAAACGAGTACCAGCAAGGACACTGGGACCCAAAGGAGTTGGATTGTGAGTTCCTACAGTGATTGGAGAGGGAAACGAAGCATTTTTTATAGGGGTGTGGAAACCTCTCCATGTCAAACGTGTTTTAAAAATCTGGAAAGAAAAAATCCAAAAAGGATAATTTTCTGGAATGGCTTCAAGCCTTAATTTTGAAATCTTCAGTGTAAAAAGAGAACACAATAGAAAAATGCTTTGGGTATAAAAAAGGTTTACCTTCTTCACTGAATTCAGTTCCTTCTGAGATTCACCAATCAAAGTATCTACGCTATCTGAGAAGCTTGAGCTATCATGGTCTCCTATCAATCTTCCTTCCACCTCAATAATCTCATCTTGCAGCTTCATACGCTTCACATTATAAATAGATAGGAATTCAGATCCTGAAACAAACCAAGGTGCATTTGAAACCAAACAGATAATAGAACAAAATGTTTCCGTTTAACAGAAACACAAAAAATATAAGTTGTACATATATGTGGGTGATTATGCAATTAAAAATTACTAGGTAGAATACATGAAAAGGAACCTTCCTAATGATTAGGATTTCAAGCGAGAAGTGTTAAGAACCACGACTCTCCACAATGATATGATATTGTCCATTTTGAACATAAGCTCTCGTGGTTTTGCTTTTGATTTTCCTAAAAGGCCTCGTACCAATGGAGCCGTACTTATAAATCCATGATCATCCCCTTAATCAGCCGATGTGGGACTACACCAACAATCCTCAACAATAAGTTGCATATTTCCGTCCATCAGAAACACAAAAAGATTTGTTTTATATATATATATATATATATAGATAGATAGATATAGATATATATTAGGAATCACGGATCTCCACGATGGTATGATATTGTCTACTTTGAGCATAAGCCCTCATGGTTTTGCTTTGGGCTTCCCCAAAAGGCCTCATACCAATGGAGATAGTATTCCTCATTTATGAACCCATGATCTTCTACTAAACTAACCAATGTGGAACTCATTCCCAATAATCCTCAACAATCCTCCCCTTGAACAAAGTACACTATAAGCCTTCTTGAGGCTTATGGAGCTCTCGATAGCCTCTCTTTAATCGAGGCTCGACTCCTTTCTCTGGAGCCCTCGAACAAAGTACACCCTTTGTTCGAAACTTTAGTCACTTTTGACTACACCTTCGAGACTCACAATTCTTCACTCCCAATAATCCTTATTATGTGATTATGCAGTTAAACATTATTATGTGGAATACAGATCAAAAGGAACCTTTCTAAACGACTGCAATTTCAAACCAAACCCCTCGTAGTATCAATTTCTGACATATGTTTAATTAAACATAAAATTCCATTCTTCTGCAAATAAAACCTTGCCCGCGCCTCCATCACAGAATTTTGAAATTTTTACACTAGTCAAGCCAACAAGGTAAATTGTTGATCAGAGACACCATATGCAAATAAAAAGATATTGGGTGTGCAATAATCTAAACTGAATGTTGTTCCATTTCAGGTACAAATATTTTGAAAACAAGAGCTATATACTTGCTACTATATGACCCGTTATGAACAGAGAGAGGAACAAAAAAAAAAGAATTCCCTAGATTGGTAATACAAAAATGTTCTGCTGATTTAAATGGAGAAATATACTTCAAGAACCCTAAAAATGTTCAAGATATTTTTCCAAGAGATGGTGCAGTCACTGCCACTCATCAATTAAAACAGAGAAAATAACAAAATCATCAGCCCTCTAGGAGGAACAGAAAACCAGTTAAAAATTGTATAGCGGGGCAGTTCAGAAAACTACAAGGACTGAAATGAAATATAGGAAGGCAAATACAATTCAACAAGAAAAAGAAGTTCATCAGGTGATTTTGTCCGAAGAGAATGATGCGCTGACGATTATGTTAGATAAATTATATTCTATAACAAATTTTCTGGTGATCTTAACAGTACTCTGAGATGTGAACTAACGCCATGATAGATCCTAACATAAACTTCAAAGTAAATTGAAAAACCAAAAAGAAAAAGAAGAAGAACACTGACCAGTTCATCCAAGTTCTCCTCCTCTAGTAACTCGATTGAAACTCCATTTTCAAAATCCACCACACTGGCCGTAACTCGCTTTCCTCAATCAAGCGCTCATTGCAAGTACTCTACAATTTTCAGTAAATGAGAACTACAGCAGTATGAAATCAGACAACAAACTAAAAATACATCATAATTATTTACCTAACCTAACCATCAGAACTGATATCATACAAAGATTACATGGATCTATGCGGATGGCGCTCCACTGCATAAAGGAAAATAAGATCTCAGAGTCCAAAGCTCTTGCTTGCAAGACGACGCTGCAATTATACATGTATTACAATCATAAGGAAGTCATCCTCAGATCAATCTGAAACTTATTTCAATTGTGTAAAATGGATACTAACACTTAATTTCTTATTCGAGAAACTTATCAAAATGCTTCTTCTCTCTCTTTTTTCATGGAAAGGAAGAGAGGCGACATCAAATTGATTATCCACACCTGTTATGGTCTGATGCACCAGAAAATGCCGGAATCCAGATTATCCGACGAAGAAATCATGGAATTCCGAGCATTGACGAAACCGATCGAACAGCAAAAGGTTCGACATCGCCGGGAAACGTAACTCCGATTAGCAGCTCATTTTCAATGAATTGCGTAGAAGAGAAACCGGTTCTTCCCGTGCATCTCCGCGCTGCGGCCTTCCGGACAAAGTGAGGCGGGAAAAACTATGGATCGGAACACCATGACTGTAAGCTGGGCCACGATTGAATTTTGGGCCATTTCGGCCCATTTAAGAATTAAGTGCTCTGATAAATTTTATTTGATTAATCATTTTTTTATTTCAACCATTCAATTCTCGTTATAAATATAAATATATAATCACGTTAACCGTATTTTTTTTAATTTATATTTAAAAAATTATTTTAAATATAATACATTATTTTAAATAATCCCAAATAAATAAATGAAAATTTTTAATTTCAAAAAATTAATTGGAATCTTTTCTTTCAATCTTATTTAACTTAATTAATATTTATGTTAATTAATATTTAATCGATCATAAATCAAGTATTATGTACTAACGAGTTAAAAATTTGAATCTCCACTTACACCCGTAACTGTTGCAAATAACATCGCCAGAACAATGATTTAAACCTTTCTTCTTTTTTTTTCGACCTTGTATGTGTAAAAGACGTAAATAATCGTATAGATTCATGGGAGAACTTAGCTACACCCAAGCTATTTCAAACTTAACGGGTAAGAATGAAATTTGAACGTCCAATCTTTAAGTCATATTGTATATCTTAATCAGTTAAGTTATGTTCAAATTGGCTTTTCGGTATTCATATAACGAGAAACCGTGTCACTCTATGTAGATTTATACCATCAACCCAACATAATTCAACTGGTTAAGACATATAAATCACCCAAGAGAATCCAATCGAGAGATCAGTGATTCGAATCATTAAAACAAGTGAATTTGGGAGATGGGTCACCAAGAAGAAGAGATTAAAATGGTGGGTATGGGGGTACTAACTTTAAGCCATATTGTTCTCGAGTGCAGGACATCAATTGTGATGTCCCGGTCCCACATCGATTGGCCGTTACAAATGGTATCAGAGTCAAACACCGGACGATGTGTCAGCCTACTCGTTGTTCCTTGAAGGGGGTAGACACAAGGCAGTGTGCCAGTAAGGACGCTGGCCCTAGAGAGGAGTGGATTTGGTGGCAGTCCCACATCGAT